GGCTCTCTCGGCTCGCTCTCGGCTCCTCTCGTCTCGGTCTCGGCTCGCTCTCAGCTCCTCTCGTCCTCTCGGCTCGCTCTCGGCTCCTCTCGGCTCGCTCTCGGCTCGGTCTCGGCTCGGTTCTCGGTTCCTCTCGGCTCGCTCTCGGCTCCTCTCGGCTCGCTCTCGGCTCCTCTCGGCTCGGTCTCGGCTCGGTCTCGGCTCCTCTCGGCTCGCTCTCGGCTCTCTCGGCTCGCTCGCGAGGGGTGGTTCTCGGCTCCTCTCGGCTCCTCTCGCCTCGCTCTCGGCTCCTCTCGGCTCGCTCTCGGCTCCTCTCGGCTCCTCTCGGCTCCTCTCAGCTCGCTCGCTGGGGTGATTCTTTTCTCTTTGTGAAGATTTTAGGGTCATGTTTGTGGAAAACCGCATGTGGAGATGTTGCTGTATGTTTATGATGTGTAGGCGAAGATATATACCTAAACGCACACCACAAAAAACAATATATACACATATAGACACATGCAAACGTGAACACATGCATACATACGCACACACACACACACACAGACGCGCGGCACGCACACACACATATTCACGCACATATATATAAATATAAATGTGAGTATGAGTTTGTGTGAGTGTGTGTATGTGTGTGTGAGAAAGTACATGTGTATGTGCATGTGTGTATATGTATATGTGTGTACACATACGATGTATATGTGCATGTATTGTATTTTCTATGTAGTGCATGTGTGTACGTTTATGTATATCTAATTCATGTACACATCATAAAGATAAACTAATGTTCACACATACGAATTACATACATAAAATCATCATCATTGCTATTGTTCGTATCACCACTTTCACCCCTAAGAACCATTGCTATCACATTCTAGCTAGCAAGATTTACCCTTAATAAAAAAAAAAAAAAAAAAAAAAAAAAAAATGCACCATGCTTACCATCATCACCATAACCATCGTCATCAACCGCCCCCTCCCCTCCCCTCCTACCCTCTTACCACCACCACCCCCTCTCCCCCCCCCCCCCTTCTCTCCTCCAGCGGGTATTAACAAGCTCATACCTCCAGGCACCTCCTCCCCCTTCCCCTCCCACACCACCCACCCACCCCACCCTCCCCTCCTCCAACCCCCACCCCCCCCACCCTCCAATAACCGACCGTAGTTCATATAATTACAGGTTTGAAGTTTAAAATTAAATGCGAGGTCCCCTGCATTCCTTACTTGAGAGGGGGCGGGCGGGGGGGATGGGGGTATAGGGATGGGGAAGGGGGGGGAGGGCAAAGGGGGTTATCAATCTTAATTATATTTTAAGGGGGGGGTGTATGGAGGTTGGGGAAAGGGGGGGGTGAACGCAGGTCGATCTTCTGTCTACATTTTGATATGAAATAATAATGATGATGATGAAGAAGTGGATATAATAAGGATAATAATGATGATGATAAGGGTAGTGATAATGTTAATGGTAATAACTGATAATTATGAACGTCATATTAATGATGACAATGTTAATATCTAATCAATAAAGAAGAAAAAAAAGAAGTGGAAGAAGAGGAGAAAAAAAAACAAAAGTGATACAAAGTGTCAAGTCACGACACCAAAAGCAATAAAAAACAAAGAAAAGAAAAAGAAAGAAGAAGAAAAAGAATGAGTAGAGCGAAGTAAAAAAAAAATGAACACGAAAAATAATGATAATGGTAAGATTAATTACAGTACCCAAAAATAATAAAGATAATGGTAATAACAACAATAATAGTAACTACAAATAAAACAAAAGAAATCACCAACGTACAACATCAAATGCACGAAAAAACAACAACTAAAAACTAAAAACTAGATATTAAAGAAACAAAAAAAAAAAAAAAAAATAAAAAAATAAAAATAATAATAAATAAATAAAAAAATAAACAAATTAATAATAAAAATACCTTTATGACGCAATTTCTTCTTCAACTCTGACTGCCCACCGAAAGGCATAAGGCAGAGATATGAGCCTCTTCTCGAGACACCAGGCGGAGATAAGAGACACGGGCGGGACCAGCGACAGAGACAAGGAATGAATGAGTGTTTTACATATATATATATATATATATATATATATATATATATATATATATATATATGTATGTTGTAGTGTGATTCGGGTAGTTTTATCGTAATTATTATCAACATTATCATTATAAGCCTTATTGTTACTATAATCATTGTTATTGTTATTATCATTATTATTGTTGTTGTTATTATTATCATTATTGCCATCATCCTCATTATCAGCATCTCTTATAATTATCATATTACCATAATTACTTCTACTACTTTACTGATAGCACTTCTACTATTTCTACTGTTATTACCTTGTTTTTTGTCTATCTATCTCTATATAAGCATGTGTGTGTGTTTCATTATAATATATATACATATAATATATATATATATATATATATATATATATATATATATATATATATATATATATATATATATATATATATATGTAAAGGGAGGAAAATGCGAAAGAAAGGAAATAGAAAATAAGATGTTAAAAGGTTCAGTAGAGTATGAATGAGGTGTGAATGTTGACTGGGCAAACTACCCAATGACCAAAATTAGCATGAATGTGCGCGCGAAAGGATGAATGTCTATATTTGTTTGTAATCTTTATATGTTTATGTTGAGATTTATCATTGGTGACATTTCACCATAACGTAAAACACACAGAAAATAAGTGCCTACAACACGAATGGTATTATCTTACCGAGGAATATGAATGTAGGGAATGTGGTATCGTCCTTTACAATTATACCCGAGAGCAGGTCAGATCGTCTTCTCGGTTCGGCAGTCAGGGCAGCAAGACCTTTTCCTTGTCTTACTACCTTCACGGCGACATGCCTACGCTGCCCTCGGGTCACCACTCCCTCATTCAGCATTGTTTACGCTCGGTAATTGTTCTATTTGAGGTAACCATTGTTTCTCTGCTACTATATAATCTACAGGCATATTAAAAATGTCTCACAGGATCACTACACACTAAAGTAAAATATCTCTGTGTTCCATGTACAAAAGTAGAAAATAATAATGCTATTGTAAAGAAATTCATACTTGGATTCTAGCAGTGTTATGTTAAAATAGAAGACATTAATCTAATGAGATGGGCAACATTCATACATGTATTAATCAATGATCACGTGCATTGGGAAATCTACTTTGTACAATTTGAAGTTAATCACTCAAATATTTCAAACTCTTTATGACGATGATCATATGATTAGTCAAAGCAACCTAAAAGTTGATTATTATTATCATTAAATATTTTCAAGAATCTTTGGCTTATGTATGAACATTCTGTACTTCTTTTGGAAGATATATTATGGAGACATTTTTCTGGTGTGCTGTTTTGAGTTTCAGTTCTGAGTGCCCAATATTCTTCGGCTTCTGGAAATGCTGTCACTGCTACCACTCTTTTCTAAACTAGGGTAGGTTCCAGGTTGCCTCAACTCTCTCTTCTTTGAGCTCCCCCGTCGCACAAGTGTGTTCTCCTTGTCCTTTGTTTCAGGAATGGAAGAAGATGAAGACGACCTTGAGAGTGGAATGCCAGAATCATCTCTGCTGTCCTGTCGCTGAAGAGGTGGTGCTGGAGCTACAAATACTCCTTTGTCACCCTTGCTGGAGCTGGTAGACCCTGATCGTGAACGGACATCAGAAGTGGAACCAGAGCGTGCCCTGACCTCCATCACCTCATCTTCCAGTTGTGAGCAATCAGATGGAGATAACTGGGAGTTGTCAGCTGATGAGGAACCCATTTCTCCTGTATCCTCAAAGTTGGGCAGGGGGATCTTAGACATTGTGGTTACAGTACCACTTCTGTATCTCTCAATTAGTCTCTCATGTGGAGAGGTGGACGACAAGAACTTAGAGTATGGGTAATCCCTTGCACCGGGTGTCTCGCCAGTTGGCACATCTTTAACCATTTTCTCAGTGAAGAATTCATTGACCTGCATCTCTTGGGCATTGAGGTCATCATCTAGCCTTTCTGTACTTGCGAACTAAGGGACTAAATTTTACTCTTATTTGTGGCACACATCGACCTTATTTACACGAGGGGACCGATGGCATAACGGAAATTCCAACCTTAGTTAAATGCGGGGATTGGCCCGTTATACTCATATGCACCTGAATATTATAGTTAACCCATCTAAGCGCACACGGGGACACGTCACATCCTTAATCGTAAATTAATAGCTATGTCGTCCTTGTAAATGTTTCCTTGCATACGATCAGTACTTCATTTCTTCACATCTTTATTTCACATTCAATTATCCTTAAGTGTACCGTACTACTCGTCAAACAAGCACACGCAAACACACGCAAACGCACACAAACACCATTTCACTCGTCTTTCTTCGGCATCCCACATGTCACATGTTTTCAACTTATTTTCGACGTATTATTCTTGCTACCAATGCAGAGGTAATCCGCTTTGAAAAATGTTAGTTTCCTTAAATTTTAACCGCCACCAGTATTTACTTATAAACACATGCTAATGGAAGTGAAGTTCGAGGAGTAAGAGAAGAGACATGATAGAATTAGCTCGAGTCAGGTAGAGGTCGCCAGTCCTCATTCAGGATAGACCCCTGCTTTCACCTGTCCTTACCCACTGTCCTACACTAATACTAATAGAAATGAAGCTAGAGGTATAGGAGGAGAGAAAAGAAAGAATTAGCTCTAGTCAGGTAGAGGTCGCCAATCCTCATTCAGGATAGAACCCTGCTTTCACCCGTCTTACACTAAAGATGGAAGGAGTAGATATAGTCAGAGGGAGAAGGAAGAATTAGCTCAAGTAGGCAGAGGACGCCAACCCTCATTCAGGATAGAACCCTACCCGTCTTACACTAAAGATGGAAGGAGTAGATATAGTCAGAGGGAGAAGGAAGAATTAGCTCAAGTAAGGCAGAGGACGCCAACCCTCATTCAGGATAGAACCCTGCTTTCACCCGCTGTAGCATTCCAGGGCATGTGTCCTGATGAGACTACAGACCCCTGTCTGGCAAACAATGGTGGTTGCAATGCCAATGCAGATTGCTTAACAGTTAATGGTGCTGTGAGTTGCACTTGCAGGGCAGGGTACTCTGGTGATGGATATACATGTACAGACGTTGACGAATGTGCTGTAGCCAACGGTGGCTGTTCTGCAAGTGCTAGCTGCACAAACTCTGTCGGCAGTTACCAGTGCAGTTGCTTGGCAGGATACACTGGTGACGGTTTCACCTGCATTGATGTTGATGAGTGCTTAGTTGCCAATGGTGGCTGTGGTGCAAATGCCTTGTGTAGCAATACTGCAGGCAGCCGTGACTGCGCTTGTAAATCAGGGTTCACAGGAGATGGCTTTACCTGTTCTGACGTCGACGAATGCCTTGTTAAAAATGGAGGCTGTGATGTGAATGCTGTATGTCAAAACACCAATGGTGGAAGAACGTGCACCTGTCTCCCAGGGTTCTCTGGTAATGGCATCACTTGCACAGATGTGGACGAGTGTCTGGTTGCTAACGGTGGCTGCGACGCAAATGCCCGGTGCAGCAATACTGCAGGCAGCCGTGACTGCGCTTGTAAATCAGGGTTCACAGGAGATGGCTTAGTGTGCACAGACGTTGACGAATGCTTGGTGGCTAATGGTGGGTGCCATGCAAATGCGGACTGTAAAAATGCTGTTGGTGGCAGAACTTGCACATGTCATCCTGGTTACACTGGAGATGGACTTCAGTGTACTGACATAAATGAATGTCTGGTTGCCAACGGTGGCTGCGACGCAAATGCCCGGTGCAGCAATACTGCAGGCAGCCGTGACTGCGCTTGTAAATCAGGGTTCACAGGAGATGGCCTAGTTTGCACAGATGTGGACGAGTGTCTGGTAGCTAATGGTGGGTGCCATGCTAAAGCTAAGTGTACCAACACTGCTGGTAGCAGAACTTGTTCTTGCCTTGCTGGTTATACTGGTAATGGACAAGTCTGCGTGGTGCTCAAGTGCCCTGTTGGCTTTGCCGGTGAAGGTGCAGACTGTGCTCCAGACTCTGACCTTGATGGCTACCCAGACACTGAACTGAGCTGTTCAAGCAAGTACTGCCGCAAGGATAACTGCATTAATAGGCCGAACTCCGGGCAAGAGGATGCCGACGGTGATAAGATTGGCGATGCTTGTGATGATGAGGCTGATGTGGCAGGTACAAAGGCCATGGTGGACCAGATTGAAGAACAGTGTGCTGAACAGGAGCTGCAACTCAGCACTTTCCAGAAGGAACAAGTGCTACCTACCCTGGAGAAGATAGCCTCCTTGATTTCCTCTCATGCTACTACCATCACTGACTTGTCTGATATGCAGAGTAACAAGCTGAATGAGTTGCACTCAGAATGTGAGAAGAGTCACCAGAACCAAGAAAAAAATGGCCTCCGAGTTCGAAAAACAGATGAGCACACAGTTAGAGGCTCATGCTGCACATACTGTTGCCTGTCTTGACAATG